GACCATTTTAGGACACGTCTTGCTATATACGACAAGGTCCGTGTCTCCCACGAGCAATTCCACACACACCTCCCATGTGAATGGAGCTTATTTCGATCTGACGTTATACCGTCGGTTCATCGACCCGTCGGTAGGGCCCCAAAAATTTCTATCGACCCCTGTATGTGGGTCACTCTACGACACCAGTGCGACATCGACACCATCTAGCGCTTAGAGACACAACTCACACTTATCAATGATACACATAACGTTTGACAGACTGTTTGTATGTAGCGTCATCTAGCGGCGGCGACAACCACAGACTATCAGGTGATGGGTAACCTGTCGGGTATTTCATTTCAGGCTACTGCAAGATGGCATATCTCAGCTATTTTACGAAAATTGAAGTTAAAATTTTAATCACTTTCTATTTATCATTAGACCTATAACCTGTAAATGTATGCTAAAATTATAGCACTCCGGTCGGTGTTGCCTTAGAAATACTATGAATTTTTCTTCCAAGAATCGCCCTCGAATTCTATCTGTTTTTATTATTGTCTTGCGTAAGACTTGCTATACATACCTAAATTGGGTTACAGAAACATTTCTGCTTCATCCCACATTCCCAGTTTATCGTAGTATTTAACTATTTTAAAAAAGTAAATGTCATAAATATTAATACTAATATAACGTAACACTTTTCAACAGTTCATCTTCAAACGAAGACATTGTGGTTTAATATTCACGAAGGACGAAGATCAACTGCCAAAAATATTGCACCATGTACTGAAAGATTTGAGTGAACAGTGTACCAGAGTTCAGACATATAAAGCCCGGATTTCGTTGTGGGATATAACGGAAACTCTTTTAATAGCACCGTAGAATCACTTCCGATTAATAAGAAGAGAACAGATAAGTACTTGATCGTTTTTAGAAACAAGGAGATTAACATTTAGTGGCGCCAAATGTAAGAGAAGGTGTAGATATACCAACTTGTACTATGGCTGTCAGGTAATTTTTTTTATTCACTAGTTTCTCATTGATTCGCTTGAATAAATCAAGATATGCTAGAGGAAAGCTCGTCACCGATAAATTGCATATAATCACTAGCTCAAGCATTCTAGCCAGATCTTTGCATATCAATTAAAATTAAGTTTGAGTCACTGTTCGTAGGCTCTAGGGTACGAACGCAGCATCGGTTTCGACCGAATTTGGCCAAAAATGCCCCTTCGACGACACATTTGGTCGTAGGCTCATGAACCCTACAGGCAAGGTTTGGAAAAGATCTGGTCGCGTACCAAGCGGACATAAACATGGTCAGAGTATGAAAAATACTTTTTCCTCAACAATTAAACAATTACATGGCTTCTACAATATCTGATTGTTACTTTCTACCATATTCTATCCGTAATTTCAACAAGAATATTAAGTGACTCTACTTTGTTGCATTTTGTTTTTTTTGCTAGCGCCATAGTCTAACCTTTTACATGCACAAAAATAGAGGACCCATCGGTAAATTGTCGATACGGCTGACCAAAGAACTGAGGAGATTATAAGTAACTATTCTAAATTAAGTATATTTCGGTGTTTACCCTGTATCCCCTACCATTTATAATATATTATTTGATTTTTTAATTGTATAATTTTAAAAATATCTGCATTTAATAGTACATATGTTTATTATCAACTTTGTAGATTAATGTATGGTCTTATCGTGAAACTGCTTTTGCAGTAACTATTATTTCCGTTATAACGGTGGGAAGCAAATATGTGTTTTCATATCCCAACGAATGTCAAAGGAAACAGTATTATCGGATACCAGCGCTGATAGATGTTATGCCTTTTCAGTATGTGTTTTTTTCTGTAGCCTTCGGTTGTCTCTGGTGCTGTTTCGAAGTTCTATGAGGTTATCGTGCTTCTCAATTTTTTCGGTGCTCATAAAAAATAGTATAGCTATTATCGAAAATATAGTTTTTATTTCTACTTTTCGTAATATCCATTTACGTAGTGATACGAAGTTCTACATGGTTATCATGCTTCTCAATTTTTCGTGCCCGTGCAGTACAGTGTTGGTACCCGTGCAGTGCAGTGCCCAACACGTAAGATAGTAAAATGATTATTATTGTAAAATAGGAATTCAAAACTCTATTTTATTAGTAATAATCGATTACTTTTACGTAGTTTCCTCTCTACACTGCTTATGAATCTGCTGTATTTTTTATTTTCCAAGATATGTTTTTTTGTGATTATACAAAGTTCCACATGGTTACACTGCTTCTCAATTTTTTTGGTGTATATTACTGCAGGCGTTTAATAATAACAATGCATACTTTTAAATATTTTTATATGGAGTAAAAAGGCTGAACAATTTCGGGTGCAAAAATATTTTTCAATTAGGCGGGAAATAAAAAACAAAAAATCATTTGCATACATTTTATTTTACATGTTTATTAAAAAATATTTACATACATTAATAAATCAATACTTTATTTTCTTAAATCCAAATGGTACAGAGGTATGATCTTCATAGAATTTCCTTTTCATTGAAGTTATCTTGTATACCTTAGGAAACTCGACTGTTACTACTGCATGCTCTCTTGTACGTCGTAGCTGTCGAGAAAGTACAGAAACAGGATCAGATTTCTTCAGCACCATGTCTTTTATTTTCTCAAAATTGACTACTTGGGATGCCTTGTAGTTGAGTGATATGCCTTTTACTTTACATACGATCTGTTCCTCTCCAGACAAAGTAGTATATTTGTAGGCGTAGTTCTTAGGTCCTCCAGAAACAAACTCTGATATGAAACCCCCATTGAGCTCATCGGTCATATCACCTATGAAGTCGCCTGTAGATATGTCGTCTAATCCCTTACGAGAGATATAAATACATGAATCTGTATCTACGTAAACTGCCCTTTCTTCCACTTTCTCCAAGAATGAATATAATTTTAGTCTAGCTAGGGCCGTGACATATGAAGCCAATACAACGTTAACCGTTGAAGAAACGTCATAGGCCTCTTCTCTAAATTCCCAAGTTATGAGAAGGGTTTCTTCGTTTACCGGGAGAACTGTATTTACATGAATAGAAGGATTAGTCAGCATATCAAAGAATTCACCACAGTCTCTGACTATTGAGGTTTTGTTTTGGTTTTCTTTTTGAGCAAATTTACCCCAAAAGGAATTCAGCATAAGTTTAGCTAACGATCTCAAACAGGGGTTCTCTATAATTTTTGAAAATTCCAGCTTTATGTCTTCTCTATCCAAAAATGCATCAATATAACGGTTTTTTTCTTCATCCGTTAAGCAATGTTTGGGCCATCCTGAAGCTTGTTGTTTTATTTGTAGAAACTTGTTCATCATTCCGCTAAATAACCCCTCTTGGTCTTTACTGAGCTGAATTGTATCGTATTCCCATATTTCGTAAGTCTCTATAATCTGGTAACCTTTTTCAATAGCTTTGAGCACCTCTTCTATCACCCAAGTTCCTTTTAGGCTTCTTTCTTGAATAGAATGCTGACACTCTTCTCGAACGAAATCTTCACCACATTTTTGACAGTTAACAAACATCAATTTGTTGTTCATTTTTGACGGTAAAACGGGGGTGATATAAGTTCTGGTTCGGTAGAATCTGGCATTTAATAAGTCCTGACATCTGCGACAGAGAGGCTGTAACACATTCTTCACCTACGTAAATTTTTTTTGGATGACCCACCGGAAATTTTCCATATTTACAGATGAAGGGGTACAGGGAACATATATCGACATATTTTATGCATTCATTTGTTTTGATCTTGTAGTATTCAACGATATTTTCTGTACGTCCCCCGTAGAGAGCGTCTCTGGGGTTAATCGGTAAATTGATTATCAATGGATGTGCTTCTGTGAAGGCTCTAATTTCATCGTTTAGCATTCCTCGAAATTGACATTCCCATATCTCAATTACTTCTAGTCCAAGGCTTCGGAGTCTCTCTACTTTGCTAACTGATTGTTCGTATCGACTTTCCAATGTATTCAACGGATCATTATGCAGAGGATTGCTTCTGTTGTATTTGAAACATCGAGGGCAACCGTGAAAATAGCATCCTTGGAATTCAAACACTTGATTTGTGTCGCTACAAAAACCGTCTACTTTATGTCCCTTAACAATGGTTTCTATACCCTTAGCGGCGTGTTGAATTTTGATTCCTCTTTGATGTTCCTCCCACAACAGCCATTGGATGGCAATTTTTGACTGATTTTCACGCCATCTATAGCCCCCTTTTGGAATTACCCCGATCGTCTCAGGTTTTAAAAAATTGCGTCTAAAGACTTTGTTACAGCATGATGCAATAGTGGTGCTTTCCTGGAAGGGATCGACTGTGGTTTCGGTTTTCATCAGGTCTCGAAATTTGAGACACGCCTGTGTCAATATTTCCACATCGGAGATACAGTATTCAACGATTTCTTTCTGAAAATCAAAAACGTATCCCTCCGCTTGTCTTTCGCCATGCCATTTTAATAATTTTTCCCGAGCGTCTTCCTTTAAATGGTCGGGATCGTAGAAGTCGAGCGCTGGAATTGGCCCTACATAATTCTGATGAGCCAAAGTGTTGAATAAATGTGGAAAGTATCCTTTCTTTAGCTCTTTCAAATCAAACGCCTTGGGTAGAGCAGTTAGAGGCATAGGAAAATAATTGAGAGAATCCAGAAATTTTACATTTCCTACCTCCATCAATATTAATTTTGTTCCTCTCATAATTACATTCGGGTACAGACTAGTCTTCTCTAAAATGTAACGAAGTAGAAACTGATGATCAAATCCTCCACCATTATGCGCCAGTACAATGACTTTCTTGAATTTTTTACGAAGTGTCAGAATATGATGCATAAATGGAGAAATGACGTCTTGACATCGAAGAATCTGTAATCGAAGGCCACATTTCTTGCATATAGGATTATCGGTACATGATTCACAACATTGTTTGAATACACATAGATTTGGCTCATGCAGTAAAGATCCATTGGGTAATTCCTTCTCCTGACGGGTTTCCAAATCGTAAAATATTAATAAGACATCATTTGATTTAGGAATACTTCTGTCAGGCTGTATATAGCACATATGTTCAATTGGTTGATTTTTATAACATGTTTTACAAAGTATATATCCGCAGATGTGATCATTACCGTTGTGAACTTTAAAACAGTCTACACATCTTTTAATTTTAGAACAGACCGATGGTAAATGAGCGTTAAAACATTCTTGTCCATAAAAGCTTCTATTACATTCTTTGCATTTGATGTGCTTCGTTTTCAGGCAGGCCGGAGATCTTTTACAAGCATAACATTGTTTATCACATCTATGAATTTGTTTAGTATTATACGGAATGTGGCAGTTCTCACAAAAAAAACTGCAGCAAAAGGCAGCAGTGAGGGATGTTATGACGCTGTAGTGCCCCTCGTGATATATTAGGTTAAGCGTCGGACCAGCGGACACGCCTTCAAAAATGACGTCACGACCTTTGCACCCAAACTTGTATACAACAATTTTGTAGTTTTGCAGATATCGTTGTAGCTTTTGAAGTTCAGGTATTCCACACCCCTCCTCAGGGATAACAATATCAGCCTTTTCCACAAGTTGTACAGCTCTTTGTCCTTGTATTTTTCCTCGATCACGGCGGATTCTGCTATAATCTTTGTCTTTGTTCAAATGGGCCATGGCGATGACAAGGGCTCGTGGGAGACACAAATTATCGGTGTTTTTAACGGTGATAATGCCTTTTCTTTTGGCGCATTCCTCATCAAAGGTATTGAAATTCTGAGCTCTACCACGACCAGCAGGCAACCTTACGGACGTAATACCCAAGCAAAAAGTCTCGGTATTCAACCCCACAGAATTTGACTGATAGATGGAAGATATCTTCTCCCATATGTCCTCAGTTGAAACGTCGGAAAACAATTTAAAAGCTATCCATCCTTGACCGCGGGTAAAGTCTTTGGAACAGAAAGTGAATCCAACTTGATCACTGGGCTGGAGATGTTCAGTTCCTTTGGCTACTATTTCCTCCAGAGCGTCTTTGATCCATCCCACAGGTTCGACGTCTTTAGGGATAGGTCGTATTTTAAATTCCACTTCTCGCCCATATAGATTAAATTTTTTAATCTTCTTAGTAGAATCCTTAACGATGAAGAATTTTTCCATTTTTTAAAAACTAAAACGTTAACTAGCGAATAAATCTGAACTGAGCACGTCTGTTCGCTGCAGATAACTGACAAGATAATTTTTTTTTTTTTTTTTTTATAACGAGGGGGGAATGCATTTACGCACCATACCATAGCACGAGCTACGACGTGTGTGGGGCTCCAGGGTCTTGAAGAGATCACCTAATACCCACTAAACCCTAAACCTCCGCGTGGCCCGACTCATCAGCGTCTCGGTAGGCCATGTGTTGTGCGTGACCTGCGGTCTGCTACAACGTCTCCTCATGTGTTTCAGTCTCTGGGAACGCCGGGTTGGTTCCCTTTACCTCGCACATTCTATCGATGTCGTTAAGCGATCATCGATAGAGGGTCTGCTAGTTTCTCTTGAAACTCTTGTTTTCGAAAAATCAAGAGTTTCAAGTCATCTTACCAATATGTTGTTCCTGGTCCTGGTCCTGAAGGGTCCTGGTCCTGGTGGGTCCTGGTCGTGGCGGGTCCTGGTCCTGGTTGGTCCTGGTCCCGGTGGGTCCTGGTCCCGGTGGTTCCTGGTCCTCTGCATCCACGCCGTGGGGTGAGGGGGGGGGAGCAGCCGCAGTTCTCCTAGTCTCCTAGTCAAGGTTCCAGTTAGCGGGTGCCAACTGGGACCTTGGTCTGGGGTACCTGGTTCTGCGGTTGCGAGGCCTCTCGTCCGGATCGTAGTCCATGAGGAATCGTAGCTGCTCGTTCGGGTGGTCCTGAGCTTTCTCGAAGGTCTTCTCCGCTTTTTTCCTCATGTACTCGTGGATGGTATCCCAATGCAGGTCTCTACGCAAGGTTGAGTTCCTTACGTAGGAAGGTGCATTGGTGGCGATCCGGAGTAGCTTCATCTCTAGAGCAGCAAGTCGCTTGCGGTAGCTGGGGGCAGCGTACCCCCAGACCGCGGAGGCGTAAGCGAGCTGAGGTCTGGCGATGGCCTTGATCAGCCGTAGCTTGGTCGCTAGCGGCATCTGGCTGTGTCTACCCAGTAATGGATAGAGTTGAGCCATGGCTGCTCTGGTTTTTGCGATGACAGCTTCTATGTGCGCTTTCCAGGTGAGGGACTTGTCAAAAACGATCCCCAGATATTTGACATTGTCGCTCCACTGGATATCTTCATCGAAGATGGATGCTTCGAGAGGTCTTGCAATCCTTCTTCGTTGAATGAAGATTGCCTGCGTCTTCTGGAAAGATAATTTGCGGTGATTCATAGGTATTTATAATCTCGATTTTACCCCCACCACTTTTTAACTGACCACAGTGTTTCAAGGTCACCGCTGTTATCGTTGGTCAGTATTAACTCGTTGACAGCCTGCGCTTCCTGCCCATTCACCCATGCTTAACAGCTCCGCCCGGTACTTCTTGCATATCACCGCTACGACAACACCTGCCCTGAACCTAACCTCATTTGCGACGTAGGTGATTGCCTTGTTGAATTTATTAGATACACAATATAGACTGTACTATGTTTTCAATATTGTATCAATGTTAAAAATTAACTAACATTAACTGTATGCACCACATATATGAGCAATTCCATTTTTATATGCACACTGAATATGACGTGTTGATTATTGAGATCATCCTATACGCATTGTTTCCCGCGAATTTTATACGTTTTTCCATTTAAACTGAATCCGCAGAATTGCATCTATAAATATCATTATTCATGGGCTTTTATCGATCTATATGCAGATATTTACCGCAAAACATGAAATGAGTCACATCGCTTACGCATAGACGTTATACTACACCTTACTATCGTCGGCTGTCTGAATCACTTCCGGTCGGGTGCGCCATCTAACGGGGCCCGCCAATCAACATATACCATCAACCCGTTCAAACTTCCCGCCGTCTGATCCACCAATCAGAGCACGCGGTGGATCTAGCGGTTCCCGCCAATCAACATATACCATCAACCCCGTTCAAATTTCCCGCCGTTTGATCCGCCAATCAGAGCACGCGGTGGATGTGGTGGGCGTGGCCAAAAAGTGGAAGTGGTGGGGGGCGCCCAGAGTGCACCAGTATCTACTAGCCAGATCTTTGCATATCAATTAAAATTAAGTTTGAGTCACTGTTCGTAGGCTCTAGGGTACGAACGCAGCATCGGTTTCGACCGAATTTGGCCAAAAATGCCCCTTCGACGACACATTTGGTCGTAGGCTCATGAACCCTACAGGCAAAGGTTTGGAAAAGATCTGGTCGCGTACCAAGCGGACATAAACATGGTCAGAGTATGAAAAATACTTTTTCCTCAACAATTAAACAATTACATGGCTTCTACAATATCTGATTGTTACTTTCTACCATATTCTATCCGTAATTTCAACAAGAATATTAAGTGACTCTACTTTGTTGCATTTTGTTTTTTTTGCTAGCGCCATAGTCTAACCTTTTACATGCACAAAAATAGAGGACCCATCGGTAAATTGTCGATACGGCTGACCAAAGAACTGAGGAGATTATAAGTAACTATTCTAAATTAAGTATATTTCGGTGTTTACCCTGTATCCCCTACCATTTATAATATATTATTTTGATTTTTTAATTGTATAATTTTAAAAATATCTGCATTTTAATAGTACATATGTTTTATTATCAACTTTGTAGATTAATGTATGGTCTTATCGTGAAACTGCTTTTGCAGTAACTATTATTTCCGTTATAACGGTGGGAAGCAAATATGTGTTTTCATATCCCAACGAATGTCAAAGGAAACAGTATTATCGGATACCAGCGCTGATAGATGTTATGCCTTTTCAGTATGTGTTTTTTTCTGTAGCCTTCGGTTGTCTCTGGTGCTGTTTCGAAGTTCTATGAGGTTATCGTGCTTCTCAATTTTTTCGGTGCTCATAAAAAATAGTATAGCTATTATCGAAAATATAGTTTTTATTTCTACTTTTCGTAATATCCATTTACGTAGTGATACGAAGTTCTACATGGTTATCATGCTTCTCAATTTTTCGTGCCCGTGCAGTACAGTGTTGGTACCCGTGCAGTGCAGTGCCCAACACGTAAGATAGTAAAATGATTATTATTGTAAAAATAGGAATTCAAAACTCTATTTTATTAGTAATAATCGATTACTTTTACGTAGTTTCCTCTCTACACTGCTTATGAATCTGCTGTATTTTTTATTTTCCAAGATATGTTTTTTTGTGATTATACAAAGTTCCACATGGTTACACTGCTTCTCAATTTTTTTGGTGTATATTACTGCAGGCGTTTAATAATAACAATGCATACTTTTAAATATTTTTATATGGAGTAAAAAGGCTGAACAATTTCGGGTGCAAAAATATTTTTCAATTAGGCGGGAAATAAAAAACAAAAAATCATTTGCATACATTTTATTTTACATGTTTATTAAAAAATATTTACATACATTAATAAATCAATACTTTATTTTCTTAAATCCAAATGGTACAGAGGTATGATCTTCATAGAATTTCCTTTTCATTGAAGTTATCTTGTATACCTTAGGAAACTCGACTGTTACTACTGCATGCTCTCTTGTACGTCGTAGCTGTCGAGAAAGTACAGAAACAGGATCAGATTTCTTCAGCACCATGTCTTTTATTTTCTCAAAATTGACTACTTGGGATGCCTTGTAGTTGAGTGATATGCCTTTTACTTTACATACGATCTGTTCCTCTCCAGACAAAGTAGTATATTTGTAGGCGTAGTTCTTAGGTCCTCCAGAAACAAACTCTGATATGAAACCCCCATTGAGCTCATCGGTCATATCACCTATGAAGTCGCCTGTAGATATGTCGTCTAATCCCTTACGAGAGATATAAATACATGAATCTGTATCTACGTAAACTGCCCTTTCTTCCACTTTCTCCAAGAATGAATATAATTTTAGTCTAGCTAGGGCCGTGACATATGAAGCCAATACAACGTTAACCGTTGAAGAAACGTCATAGGCCTCTTCTCTAAATTCCCAAGTTATGAGAAGGGTTTCTTCGTTTACCGGGAGAACTGTATTTACATGAATAGAAGGATTAGTCAGCATATCAAAGAATTCACCACAGTCTCTGACTATTGAGGTTTTGTTTTGGTTTTCTTTTTGAGCAAATTTACCCCAAAAGGAATTCAGCATAAGTTTAGCTAACGATCTCAAACAGGGGTTCTCTATAATTTTTGAAAATTCCAGCTTTATGTCTTCTCTATCCAAAAATGCATCAATATAACGGTTTTTTTCTTCATCCGTTAAGCAATGTTTGGGCCATCCTGAAGCTTGTTGTTTTATTTGTAGAAACTTGTTCATCATTCCGCTAAATAACCCCTCTTGGTCTTTACTGAGCTGAATTGTATCGTATTCCCATATTTCGTAAGTCTCTATAATCTGGTAACCTTTTTCAATAGCTTTGAGCGCCTCTTCTATCACCCAAGTTCCTTTTAGGCTTCTTTCTTGAATAGAATGCTGACACTCTTCTCGAACGAAATCTTCACCACATTTTTGACAGTTAACAAACATCAATTTGTTGTTCATTTTTGACGGTAAAACGGGGTGATATAAGTTCTGGTTCGGTAGAATCTGGCATTTAATAAGTCCTGACATCTGCGACAGAGAGGCTGTAACACATTCTTCACCTACGTAAATTTTTTTTGGATGACCCACCGGAAATTTTCCATATTTACAGATGAAGGGGTACAGGGAACATATATCGACATATTTTATGCATTCATTTGTTTTGATCTTGTAGTATTCAACGATATTTTCTGTACGTCCCCCGTAGAGAGCGTCTCTGGGGTTAATCGGTAAATTGATTATCAATGGATGTGCTTCTGTGAAGGCTCTAATTTCATCGTTTAGCATTCCTCGAAATTGACATTCCCATATCTCAATTACTTCTAGTCCAAGGCTTCGGAGTCTCTCTACTTTGCTAACTGATTGTTCGTATCGACTTTCCAATGTATTCAACGGATCATTATGCAGAGGATTGCTTCTGTTGTATTTGAAACATCGAGGGCAACCGTGAAAATAGCATCCTTGGAATTCAAACACTTGATTTGTGTCGCTACAAAAACCGTCTACTTTATGTCCCTTAACAATGGTTTCTATACCCTTAGCGGCGTGTTGAATTTTGATTCCTCTTTGATGTTCCTCCCACAACAGCCATTGGATGGCAATTTTTGACTGATTTTCACGCCATCTATAGCCCCCTTTTGGAATTACCCCGATCGTCTCAGGTTTTAAAAAATTGCGTCTAAAGACTTTGTTACAGCATGATGCAATAGTGGTGCTTTCCTGGAAGGGATCGACTGTGGTTTCGGTTTTCATCAGGTCTCGAAATTTGAGACACGCCTGTGTCAATATTTCCACATCGGAGATACAGTATTCAACGATTTCTTTCTGAAAATCAAAAACGTATCCCTCCGCTTGTCTTTCGCCATGCCATTTTAATAATTTTTCCCGAGCGTCTTCCTTTAAATGGTCGGGATCGTAGAAGTCGAGCGCTGGAATTGGCCCTACATAATTCTGATGAGCCAAAGTGTTGAATAAATGTGGAAAGTATCCTTTCTTTAGCTCTTTCAAATCAAACGCCTTGGGTAGAGCAGTTAGAGGCATAGGAAAATAATTGAGAGAATCCAGAAATTTTACATTTCCTACCTCCATCAATATTAATTTTGTTCCTCTCATAATTACATTCGGGTACAGACTAGTCTTCTCTAAAATGTAACGAAGTAGAAACTGATGATCAAATCCTCCACCATTATGCGCCAGTACAATGACTTTCTTGAATTTTTTACGAAGTGTCAGAATATGATGCATAAATGGAGAAATGACGTCTTGACATCGAAGAATCTGTAATCGAAGGCCACATTTCTTGCATATAGGATTATCGGTACATGATTCACAACATTGTTTGAATACACATAGATTTGGCTCATGCAGTAAAGATCCATTGGGTAATTCCTTCTCCTGACGGGTTTCCAAATCGTAAAATATTAATAAGACATCATTTGATTTAGGAATACTTCTGTCAGGCTGTATATAGCACATATGTTCAATTGGTTGATTTTTATAACATGTTTTACAAAGTATATATCCGCAGATGTGATCATTACCGTTGTGAACTTTAAAACAGTCTACACATCTTTTAATTTTAGAACAGACCGATGGTAAATGAGCGTTAAAACATTCTTGTCCATAAAAGCTTCTATTACATTCTTTGCATTTGATGTGCTTCGTTTTCAGGCAGGCCGGAGATCTTTTACAAGCATAACATTGTTTATCACATCTATGAATTTGTTTAGTATTATACGGAATGTGGCAGTTCTCACAAAAAAAACTGCAGCAAAAGGCAGCAGTGAGGGATGTTATGACGCTGTAGTGCCCCTCGTGATATATTAGGTTAAGCGTCGGACCAGCGGACACGCCTTCAAAAATGACGTCACGACCTTTGCACCCAAACTTGTATACAACAATTTTGTAGTTTTGCAGATATCGTTGTAGCTTTTGAAGTTCAGGTATTCCACACCCCTCCTCAGGGATAACAATATCAGCCTTTTCCACAAGTTGTACAGCTCTTTGTCCTTGTATTTTTCCTCGATCACGGCGGATTCTGCTATAATCTTTGTCTTTGTTCAAATGGGCCATGGCGATGACAAGGGCTCGTGGGAGACACAAATTATCGGTGTTTTTAACGGTGATAATGCCTTTTCTTTTGGCGCATTCCTCATCAAAGGTATTGAAATTCTGAGCTCTACCACGACCAGCAGGCAACCTTACGGACGTAATACCCAAGCAAAAAGTCTCGGTATTCAACCCCACAGAATTTGACTGATAGATGGAAGATATCTTCTCCCATATGTCCTCAGTTGAAACGTCGGAAAACAATTTAAAAGCTATCCATCCTTGACCGCGGGTAAAGTCTTTGGAACAGAAAGTGAATCCAACTTGATCACTGGGCTGGAGATGTTCAGTTCCTTTGGCTACTATTTCCTCCAGAGCGTCTTTGATCCATCCCACAGGTTCGACGTCTTTAGGGATAGGTCGTATTTTAAATTCCACTTCTCGCCCATATAGATTAAATTTTTTAATCTTCTTAGTAGAATCCTTAACGATGAAGAATTTTTCCATTTTTTAAAAACTAAAACGTTAACTAGCGAATAAATCTGAACTGAGCACGTCTGTTCGCTGCAGATAACTGACAAGATAATTTTTTTTTTTTTTTTTTTTTTTTTTTTTTTTTTTTTTTATAACGAGGGGGGAATGCATTTACGCACCATACCATAGCACGAGCTACGACGTGTGTGGGGCTCCAGGGTCTTGAAGAGATCACCTAATACCCACTAAACCCTAAACCTCCGCGTGGCCCGACTCATCAGCGTCTCGGTAGGCCATGTGTTGTGCGTGACCTGCGGTCTGCTACAACGTCTCCTCATGTGTTTCAGTCTCTGGGAACGCCGGGTTGGTTCCCTTTACCTCGCACATTCTATCGATGTCGTTAAGCGATCATCGATAGAGGGTCTGCTAGTTTCTCTTGAAACTCTTGTTTTCGAAAAATCAAGAGTTTCAAGTCATCTTACCAATATGTTGTTCCTGGTCCTGGTCCTGAAGGGTCCTGGTCCTGGTGGGTCCTGGTCGTGGCGGGTCCTGGTCCTGGTTGGTCCTGGTCCCGGTGGGTCCTGGTCCCGGTGGTTCCTGGTCCTCTGCATCCACGCCGTGGGGTGAGGGGGGGGGAGCAGCCGCAGTTCTCCTAGTCTCCTAGTCAAGGTTCCAGTTAGCGGGTGCCAACTGGGACCTTGGTCTGGGGTACCTGGTTCTGCGGTTGCGAGGCCTCTCGTCCGGATCGTAGTCCATGAGGAATCGTAGCTGCTCGTTCGGGTGGTCCTGAGCTTTCTCGAAGGTCTTCTCCGCTTTTTTCCTCATGTACTCGTGGATGGTATCCCAATGCAGGTCTCTACGCAAGGTTGAGTTCCTTACGTAGGAAGGTGCATTGGTGGCGATCCGGAGTAGCTTCATCTCTAGAGCAGCAAGTCGCTTGCGGTAGCTGGGGGCAGCGTACCCCCAGACCGCGGAGGCGTAAGCGAGCTGAGGTCTGGCGATGGCCTTGATCAGCCGTAGCTTGGTCGCTAGCGGCATCTGGCTGTGTCTACCCAGTAATGGATAGAGTTGAGCCATGGCTGCTCTGGTTTTTGCGATGACAGCTTCTATGTGCGCTTTCCAGGTGAGGGACTTGTCAAAAACGATCCCCAGATATTTGACATTGTCGCTCCACTGGATATCTTCATCGAAGATGGATGCTTCGAGAGGTCTTGCAATCCTTCTTCGTTGAATGAAGATTGCCTGCGTCTTCTGGAAAGATAATTTGCGGTGATTCATAGGTATTTATAATCTCGATTTTACCCCCACCACTTTTTAACTGACCACAGTGTTTCAAGGTCACCGCTGTTATCGTTGGTCAGTATTAACTCGTTGACAGCCTGCGCTTCCTGCCCATTCACCCATGCTTAACAGCTCCGCCCGGTACTTCTTGCATATCACCGCTACGACAACACCTGCCCTGAACCTAACCTCATTTGCGACGTAGGTGATTGCCTTGTTGAATTTATTAGATACACAATATAGACTGTACTATGTTTTCAATATTGTATCAATGTTAAAAATTAACTAACATTAACTGTATGCACCACATATATGAGCAATTCCATTTTTATATGCACACTGAATATGACGTGTTGATTATTGAGATCATCCTATACGCATTGTTTCCCGCGAATTTTATACGTTTTTCCATTTAAACTGAATCCGCAGAATTGCATCTATAAATATCATTATTCATGGGCTTTTATCGATCTATATGCAGATATTTACCGCAAAACATGAAATGAGTCACATCGCTTACGCATAGACGTTATACTACACCTTACTATCGTCGGCTGTCTGAATCACTTCCGGTCGGGTGCGCCATCTAACGGGGCCCGCCAATCAACATATACCATCAACCCGTTCAAACTTCCCGCCGTCTGATCCACCAATCAGAGCACGCGGTGGATCTAGCGGTTCCCGCCAATCAACATATACCATCAACCCCGTTCAAATTTCCCGCCGTTTGATCCGCCAATCAGAGCACGCGGTGGATGTGGTGGGCGTGGCCAAAAAGTGGAAGTGGTGGGGGGCGCCCAGAGTGCACCAGTATCTACTCACAAACATTTGCAACCATTTCTACTTTTTGCTCATGCCTTTGCCGGCTGCGACACTACTAGCTGCTTTTTTGGGAAAGGAAAGATGAAGCTGGTGAAGTTGCTGCTGCAGAACAACAGCATTAGAGCGCTGCGCTGAAGTTTTACGAGCCGGACTGCTTGGAAGACGAATTGCTGCAATGTGCAGAGACGATTACTCTCGCACTATACAAAGACAAAGAACAGTCTTCCTCTCTCGGGACTTTCAGATACAATTTGTTTTCTACAAACTTAGCAAAGGCAAAAAAGGAAACGCCCCTAGAATGTCTCCCACCAACATCTCCTGCCTTGCTTCAGCAC